AATGCTTCTCCAAGCAGACTTTCTGTGCTTTTAGCACACCCTCCTTTCTAAAAATGAAGTCTTTTGTTTGTTTGTGTTACAGTACATAAAGAAGGGCCATTAGGGAGCCTCAAAGCTATAACCTAAAGGTCAAAGACTAAGGCAAGTGTCACCTGGCCCTCAAATGAGGTTTTATTGCGATGGATTATGACATAATCAACTAAAATAATAAGGCACCTATTATGTTACAAAGGCAGTTGGCTGAAATAATAGTTTTCTTTATGATCATCGTGTTGTGTTGTCTTTCACGTATTATTGGTTTCATAGCTATAGATGAATACAACTGGATTTTGATGGATTTTACCATCAAAATAAAATTTATGGGAGAGGGTTAATTACATTCTTATGGGAAATTATGTGGACATGTCATTTCCACAATGAGAATGGCGGCTGGTAGATCTTTGAGGTATACATGCTTGTATGTGTATATTTAATTTTCATACTGGGAGCTTGACAAATAGATATACATTAAGTAATATAAAAAGCCTTATTATCAAATAAAGTGGAGCCCTATTATGACTTTATTCATTATGATATACACACACACACATAAATACACACACATATAAATACACACACACACACACGATTATATCATATGCTTTGAAACATAACTACATCTTGGAGGTGTTTTACATAGTATTACCAAATACTAGTTCAAAAGACAAAGGTTGGCCCTGTTCCATAAGAATAGCAACATTGTAAATGGGTACATTATGCCACCCTTTGTGTTGAAACACCTGTTCATTATATTTTCAACCTTTGTCTTTTCCTTATTGTTCCTTGAGTTTCAGAGAAGTAAGCATTTCCTTGCAGGGGGCTATGCATTTGGGCCAAATTTCTGCTAGTATCTCCCAATGACTTTCCGGCATCCCCAGGTGAAGAGAAATGCTTCCCAGCAGTAGCTGCAGCAGCAAAATCTGGAATAAGGTAACAGAGAGATCAAAGCAGGAACTAACCTGTGCAAAAAAAAAAAAATGCACTTTATCATCATTCATTTCCCATTTGCAAAAACTTCCTTTGAAGCAATCAGCCTTGGTGAGGCAATATTAGAAAGCAGGCTTTAAAAGTGAAAACTGCAAGGTTGAGGTGAGGGAATTGATGAAAGCATAGTTTATATTTATTCAGAAGTACTTTAAAACAATCTGTGTTTAACATGGCAAATTGTCTGTCATTAAAATGCTAATGAAATGGTAAACAGCTGCTAAGTTTTTTATGTTAATGAATGGTGGTAGCTTAGTTGCTCTCAAGCCTTGTGGTTATTAGCATAGAGATTTGATTGGGTAAGGGGGATCATTGTGCATTCTGACCTTTGTTGATGGAGCAATCTGTTTGTCAAGTTCCTTGTTTCATTCTATTTGATTTTAGTTTGTTAGTACAAAGTGAGTCTTGCCAGGCCCTGGGGGGCCATGTATTACAAAGTGGTATCAGAGCCACCATTGTGGGCTTAGAGAAAGAATTTGCTTTGGGGGGAAGACCCAAGGTGGCAAAATAATTATACATTTGTTCATCAGGCAGCTTTAAATAGAATAATTCTGTAAACTTTTTATACTTTAGACTTCTAACAATTATAGTAATTGTAAATTGTAAAAGTCTGTTGATCTAACGTAAGAAATATCTGCTTTTTCAATTTAGCTAAGATTTTAAAGCAAAGCTTTTAAAACAAATATTTTAGTAAGTGTCTTTGAAACATTTGATATATTGATATAATACATCATCTTGGATCTACAAGCTCTAAAGTTAGCAATGAATATAATAACTAATTAAAAAATAATGCATAATTAAATACAAGGTGCTTATGTGAATGCCAGGCTGAGATCAGAGCGTTTACTTTGGCATCAGAAAAACAACCATTACTGTTTAATCTATACTTTTGACTGATTCTCTTTTTGCTGAGTCCTACTCTGTATTCTCTAAAGGATGGGGTTGACCTGAAGACTGTCATTACAGATAAATGCTTCAAATGTCTTTCTCTTTTTTCTGTTTTTAGGATCAATGTAAATGAGGTATGACAGTCTATTAAACACCATTGCCAATAATGTTCTGGAATAATTTGAAATATAATTCAGAGTTTATTAAAGAAATTCAGCATCAAAAAAAGTCATTGAAACAGGAATTTTAATTATTCTGGGACACTATATAAGAATATTGGTGGAAATTTTAATAGTTGGAGCATTTTTCCATAGTGTTCATTTTCCCATGCTGTTCTTAAAGGCAGAAGGGATTATAGGCATATCAGTATTTGTAACCCGATATAGGCGTGCCAGGAGAAATTGGAAACCTCATACACTGCTGGTGATAATGTGAAGTATCGTATTTCCCCATGTATAAGACGCACCCTTTTTTGAAAAATGTGGGGTCTAAAAACTGGGTACGTCTTACACAGTGGTTGTAGATTTCAAATGCCATAGATGGAACTGAGGATAAGGCAATATATGAAGACAGTGATTTGTCATCAGACACAGATGAGGACAAGCTAATGGCTGGGAGTTTTGACAGTGATGAGGAGTTGTATGAATTTTATGATGAATAAAACTTGAGTTCAATAATTTTATGTAGTACATTTTTTTTCAAATTTCAGGCCCCAAAATTAAGGTGCATCTTATACATGGGAACGTCTTATACATGGGGAAATACGGTAGTTCTGCAGGTTTTCTTTTTTTTTCTTTTAATTATTTTTTATTATGAAATACACATTTTTTAGAATTAGTTTCAGCTGTACAACACAGTGCAATAGTTATACTTTTTACCCCTCGAAGTGACCACCACCCTTGCCCAATCCGCCGCCCCATTTCCCCCCAACATCATACATATCTATTACAATTCCCTTGACTCCACTCCCACGCTATACTCCACATCCCGTGTCCATATATATATATTCACTTATAGTTGACATACAATTTTTTACAACATCAGCTTCAGGTGTGCAGTGCAGTGACCAAGCCTCTTCCCCATCCATGATGCGGTCTCCCTAGCAAGACATGTGACCACCTGACACCCCAGTTCTGCTGTTTTGAAAAACAGCCTGGATATTCTCAAAAGGTTAAACCAGGTTATTAAGACAGGTTAGTTAGTATAACGTCAGGAAGTCAGGAATTCCCTGGTAGACTGAGCAAAGATAATAAAACTGGCCATTCCTTACACTAGCCATTTCTTTTAAAATTATAAGATAACTCCCCTCATACTGGAACAGAGACATCAATCATACCGCAGAGCAACAAAGCCATTTAGAAGGACATTACGAAAAGCATTTCCAAGGCTAAGCAACAGAACAAATCTGATAAACACCTTAATGACAGGCACCAGCATTCCAGCATTCCCCCTCCCAGGCAGAAAGAAAAGTATAAAACTCAAGCCTTTTGCCCTAGCTAGTGGGCATCCCAGTTCCAGGTATCCCCTCCTGCTCGGGAGCTGTAACCTTTCTCTTGCTTTAATAAAACTATCCTCTGCTACAAACTCTACCTCTCTGGTCCATGTCTCCATTCTTCGACTTCACGAGACCACAACCCCGGCACAAGAAATATCCTACGTCATTATTACCACATGACCTCACGATCTCCAATTCTACTCTTAAGTATATACCTAAGAGAACTAAGATCATATGTCCACAAAAAAACTTAGAAACAAATGTTCATAACAGCATTATTCATGTTAGCCAAAAAGTGCAAACAACCCCAATGTCCATCAACTGATGAATGAATAAGCCAGAGGTAGTCCATATACAATGAAATATTAGCCAGCCCTAAAAACGATTGAAATTCTGTTACATGTGACTACACGGATGAACTTTGAAAACATTATGCCAAGTGAAAAGAGGCAGTCACAAAAGACCTCATATTGTGTGATTTCACGTAAATCAAACACCCAGAATAGACAACTCTATAGAGACAGAAAGTAGATTAATGGTTGCCAAGAACTGAGGATGTTGGGAGAAAATGGGGCGTAACTGCTAATGGGTATGGAGTTTCTTTTAGGGATTGTGAAAATGTTCTAAAATTGTAATGGTTGCACAACTTTGTGAATATGCTAAAAACCATTGACTTGTACCCTTTAAGCGGGTGAACTGTCTGGTATGTGAATTATATCTCAATAAAGCTGTTATATTAAAAAAAAAATTCACACCAGAGCCTGTCTCTCAGGGAGCCACCTGCACCAGCAATTACCTATCTGCAGTCTGTGGAGGCTCCAGGCTAAAGAAGAATCATTGTTACGGCACAGGAGTGCTTTAAATCTCCTATACGTGGGCTAAACCAGGTGTCTACAGAGATGACAGCTAATATAATTGTTAAAAGGGATAGTTGCTAAAATAATACAAGGCTCATTAGATGTAAAAGTTGAAGATAAAAATTTGAGTTCCCGTTCCAACTCCTCCCTGTCCCCCAATACCCTGCCCCCACCCAGGTCACAATAACCTCTTTTAGATTCTGTAACTCTCCAAGGTCTAAACTACCTATTTTCCACAAAGGGCAACTTTCAGTTTGTTTTTATAGAGAACAAATTGCATCCTAACCCTCTTGGAAGCAGGCAGTAACTGTAAGAGTCCAAGGTTCCTTTCCCTTGTAAAAACCCTGTAATTATCTCTGATTTGCCTAAAATGTGCCTACTAGCCATCCAAAAACTGAATAGTAAAGACCCATCAGGCTTCAAGAGGCTCCTCCCCTGCTGTCCTCGATTTTTGGCTAGTCAGAGACCTAGGACCTGTGTGCTATGCTGTGTGTCTCAGCCGAGACGGACCAACCTTGGCCATTGCCGTGGGGAAGCACTGCACATCGCTGTCTTAGACAATGAACAAGGAGACCCTTTTAAACTGTATTTTCTCCTCCTGTGCCATTTGCTTCCTTCTAAAGTAACTCTTTTGCTTGCAGGTTGCAGCTCAGCAGTCTGGCTTTGGCACTGTAGGTTGGGGAGGGAGATGAATGTGAGCGAAAAGATTGAATTTATTTTTGTTTTGTTCTTGGCAGGCAGTACATGCCACACTCCCGCCCTTCCTGCTCTTGTGCGCACACCTACCCTGATGATGCAGCCTTCGCTGGATATCAAACCATTTATGTCTTTTCCAGTGGACAGTAGTTCTGCTGTGGGACTCTTTCCAAATTTTAACACAGTGAGTACACGCATTTTTATTTTATTTGTGTCCTCCTCAATCTCTTTTGTGAATAACCAATCTATGTAGCCTGTTTCCTAAGTGTATAATTTTAGGCCATATATTTCTTACACTGCTCAGCTGTATTACGGAAGATAATGCTTCACCCATGGCAGTTAGTCCAGACAATAACCAGCATATTTATTTTACAAGTGTTTCCACAGGTGACTTTTCACCTGTTGCTATGGGCAATTTTGGTAGACTTTTCAGTGGCTCAAGCAACTCATATCATTTCTGGGACGCTGTTCCCATGCTCAAGTACACAATTTAGAGATATAAGCCACATTGATTTTTCCCTACTACTGTATATATATAAAAAAGTATATGGTTTATCTCTCTGGGTACATTTTTATTTGGGAGATAGTTTAGGTAAAGACTCTTACACAAACAGAATTTTTATTTGCAGGCTATTGTGCATTATATGAACCTGACTCTGTTAGTAAGTAGAAAAAACTCATTATAAATTTACGCGTACATATTAGTTGTCGACATGATACTCTGACATTCACTTTAAAACCTATGAAAAATATTAACGAATTACCTATCATTACCAGTGTTCTTCACTCAGGTCAGCTGACGTTTTATCTGAATGAAAAACATTCTGTAGCGGTACCAAGTGGAGCACGACATCTTTCAGCAATAGAATCCAGTGTAAAATCACTTCATAGTCAGATTCTAACCTTATAGTAAGAGAAAAGGTTAAACAGTTCAGGTGATTGCATGAATTATGCCTGGTAGGTCAGTAAGTACATGGTATTTGGAGCACAATGGTCTACATAAATGATATAGAGTTTTAGCAGCTGCCATGATCAAGAAAAAAGAATTGCATTATCAACACCACCAGACAGTGAGCACCTGAAGTACAGCCAAATGTTTCCTTTTGCAAATTTACTTTCTGTATGAAGTGAGAAAAGCCAGAAGATTCTTCCTCGAGGGCTGTAAATAAAATCTGCTGACAGTCCTCTTGGTGGCTTAGCATGGTAAGGTAATCAGAAGTTAGGGGGTCAGCCAACTAAGGAGTGCTGGCCTTGACTTACCAAGGAAACAGGTAAATGTCTTTGTCTTCTTGGGGATTTTCAGAGACAAGTCACACAGGTTGTTTGTTTGTTTGTTGTTAAAGGCATAAACAGGTGAGCATCGTTTCTAGTGTAGTGGAATGGCTCAGTAAGATAAGTCACGCCTGGTCACATTAATCCATCAGGAAGTGACTGCCCCAAAGACCAGTGGCCATGTCAGGGAGCTTGAACTCAAGCATGCCTCTATTGAAACACAGATGATACATTCCAAACATCACTTAATTAAATTATGGACTTCTTAAAACATGCACTAGGTGTTTGTATTTTGCTTCATGTGCATTTGGAAGACAGCATTTGTAGCTACTGCACAGGTACAGTCGTAGTCAGGAAGCAGCATTGACGGTGTGGATCAGTATAAATGGCTCCTACTGCGGTTCACCTCTCCGTATTTTTTTTTTAACACATACGTAGATACTTATTTCAAAGATTCAAATAAAACATTTGCATTCAAAGTAAAATGTGAAACTCACCATTCCCCGCCTCTGCAAACACACTTACTCCCTTTGCTGGAGGAAAAGACCCTTAAGCAGCTGGTCTGCATCCTTCCAGCCCGCTTCTAGAAGTATATTATGTATATACCTAATGGGAACTCAATCACAGCTGTCTTTCTACAGTTGTGATCATCTGATTAGCACTATTCGCTAAGTCATTTTTTTCAATTATCCAAGTGCCTTATGTATACCTCTGTGTTCTTAAGGTCTATAAGACAAAACTGGAAAGAATATTTTCATAAAGGTTCTTTTTTTTTTTTAAGATAAAAACACAGTTTCATAATGACTTATAAGGTGGGTTTACAGATGCACTAACTTGCCTTTTTATTTGTTTCTGTGCTATACACAGCAATTAACCTTATGATATATATGAGAATATCCAAAGAATAGTTTTATTAATAGAAGCTCTTTTTATTTTCCTTCTTGGAAGAAACTTGTAAGTTTCAAATGAAAATACTTTGTGGTTAAGGTGAAGAATATAGCAAAGAACTTCATGAAAAAAAATCACTTTATTATAGACAAGGCATTTTTTGCACAGACAGCCCTTTTGGTAGTGTGGTAAAAATTAGGTCATTGCAAGCAGGACCCTCTACAATCTTATAAATAAACGAATTTATAGGATTGTTGGAGGGTAACCTGTGATTTTTTTCACTGAACCACAGTTTAATTACTGAAATCCTATTCCTATAGCCTTTTGCATTCTCATGTCCAACTCACCCAATAGATTTCCTAAGGTAATTTCATGAAAGCCATTGTCAACATTTTCCTCAAAAAACATTACTATATCACTACTAATAATTACACTAGATTATTGTATACTTATGATGTTTTACATTCTTCAAAAGACTCAGACTTTAGAACATTTTAGTAGACCATGATCATTCTTCCTGTTGCCTAGAGGAAGAAAAGAGTTAGTAAAGGAAGAATTGAGACTTGAATTAGAATCTTCTAGCTTTGAAACTCACATTCTGGCTCTTCTCTGTCCTAGGCCGTTTGGGGCCATGTCACCTCCCACCTCATTCATGGTGAACAAATCTCAATCAAAAATCTTTTGTGCTCTTTTCTGGAAACATGGTAGAGAATTTTCAGAAGAATCAATAAGTAGAAAGAGGAAAGGATTTTTTGAATACTTGAAATGAACCTTTTTACAAACAATATCCATGAAACAGAATATATTTTTAAAACAGTTATAATTTTTTGCTAGCAAATTTTAAAAGTATATTTTACTCAGTAGTCCACTTCTTTTTTGAAAACAAAGATGAATGTTACTTTAATCACTTTATTTTTAATCAGGATAATATTAGTAAACATAAGAAATATATTTTAACTCATAATTATTATCAATAGAATAAAAACACTATAGTCTAAGACCATAGATGAAAGTTTTAGAAGTTTGAAGTTTTACTATTTTTTTTCAGATTTAAATGTGTGTGTGTATATATATATATATATATATATATATATATATATATATATAGAGAGAGAGAGAGAGAGAGAGAGAGAGAGAGAGAGAGATGGCTTTCTCTTGCTTTCATAGTGGAGTATGATAATGTTACATCAGAAACATAGCAAAATTGAAATGGGATTCTGTCATATTCCCAAACAGAATAGATGCCTGTACTATACTAAATTGTATGCAATGAAGAGATATGCCTCAGAGCGTGCATTTTAGTGTCTGTCTTGCCTTATGCTCCACAACTGACATAATCTCTGTGTCAATGTTTATATGTGAAGATTAAGCAAATAATTGGAGACATTGACCAAGCAGAATTATGAAGAGCTGTGCTAGGAAAGGTAGAGCTTGAATCACTGATAATTTATGATGGGCTAAAAGTCAAGGATGCATACCTAGAAAATGATGATGCTAACTCTGCACGTCAGCAGTTGTGCTTTACGGAGAGACTGTTTTGAGCCACTTACAAGTAAAAGACGGTGCAAACAAAAAACATGTATTTTTAAAGATCTCGACCTTTATATCTAAAGCTTAATAGGCTTCTCTGCCTGGCTACCCACTAAAGCTCACTTCTAACCCTGCCACCCTACCTTCAATTATTTGTTGTTCAGGGCTCAACTTCATGTCGCCTCCCTCACAGGAAGTCTTCTGTGACTCCTCAGGTCTGGATTAAGGGTCCATTCTCTGTATTTTCAACGTACCCCCAGATTACCTCCGTTATTGTACTTGTCACACCATAGTCTAATTACCTGATGATCTTCCTCACTGGAATGTCAGATCCTTGAGGACAGGAGCATATTTCATTTCTCTTTATTGGCTTGGTGTCTGGCACAGGTGCTCAGTAACACTTTGCTGAAAGAAGAAAGAGAGGAAGGGAGAAAATGACAGAGGAAGGGGCCCCGTTCCTTGGTTTTGAATGTCCGTGCTCTCCCATCCAGCAAAGGGAACACCAGCATTTCTGAGCTCCTTCTAAACATGAGGTTAAAAGGCACAGGTGTTTACTTTTACTTCTATTTTCCTGAGAACTGTCCTTTCCTAATCTAAAGGTAACAATTAGTTACAAACTTCTCCCCAGGTATAGTTCCGGCTTTCTCTTGTATAGATGATGTGGAAACTTTGCTGCGAGTATTTACTACATTCCTTGTCCTAAGCCCTAGTCTTAAAAGTTTTTAGTTAAAAAATAAAGTCATTAGTTATTGAATTTTATTGAAAATATGGAGTATATGCACTAAAGAGTTCTGGGTTTGGGAAAGAAGATAAACAAAATAAATAAACCAAAATTACCTCAGGGCCCAAGAAACTTATAAGAATTAGATTAAATAGACTAGAAAAGCAAGATAATAAAAACCAAAAAGTATAGGCAAAGTGAAAATAGTTAGTGAACATTATAGGTTTTAAGAAAGAGGTTTTTTTGTATGCTCGTAGCACTGTTTTCATTATTTTGTTATTCACTGTACTTTAAATTTGCCAAATGTTCCATGGTTGTCCTTTACTTGTACATAATATTTTGGTGGCTTCTGAAATATATGCAATTGTTTCTCCAATTAGAATTAGAATCTACCATCTCCTTTACTGTGGATCCAATTTTTATCTTGATTCAACTGGGATAATACTTGGTGTTTAACAGCTAGGATAATACTTCATGTTAAATTCTCCTTAAGATGATACTTCTTCAGAATTGAAATAAATTGCATATTTACCGGTATTGTTTTAATATAATATGTGTAGTAGAAGAAACATGTACACACATGCTGTAATGGACTGAATGTTTGCATCCTCCTCTCCAAATTCATATGTTGAACACCCAAATGAAGGTCTTTAGAGATGGGGCCTTTGAGGGATAATTAGGGTTAGACATGCCATGAGGGTGGGGTCCTCATAATGGGATTAGCGCCCTTATAAGAAGAGACCCCAGAGAGTTCTCCCTCATCCCACCACATG